CCCCCCCCCCCCCTTCATCCTTGGCTTGAAAACTGGATTTTTGCCGACCTACCTTCTCTCCCGCCGCCCGCCCCGTGCATCGCGGAGCTCGACGAGGATCCCCCCCCGCCTTTCGTTGATCCTCCACCGCGCCCCCTGCTCGAGGCCGACCCGCTCTTCGCGGCGACCTTCGCAAGGAGAGACTTGCCACCCTTCGGTGCCTTGTACTTTACATCCATCTTTGTTGGCATTATGCAGGATTGTTCGTTGACGATGGGAGAGAACGGGGGGTTGTTGTGGTTGTGGAACGATCTCAGGAACGGTTCTGCCACGGGGGGTCGACTCGCTCTGCATCAGAATGCATATCCCATGGACGTCTCTCAGTAGTGTCCGCAAGCAAATACCGGCATTATTTAGGGACCAGTATCTCTCATGGGTCTAGATACCCAGCACTATCATGTCACTCCACGGCCAGAACTTCATGTGGCCGAACCATGGGCAGCCGACAAGCTCACGTGGCCGTCTCGAAGACAACTTTGGGTGTTGCCCTACCAAAGTGCGACAAGAGCGACACACGCTCCACACAGACTTGTTTCGGGTGTGAATGTTCGGTTAAATATTTTGAGTGGACCCAAGGACAAAGAAAATAGAAAGCAGCTTCCAAAAACCGCACTCGTTCGGGAAAGGAAGCACTCCCCGTCTACAAATCACGCAAGCGACAAAAAATCACGGCACCTATGGAAGCCGAACTCAAACCACTAGACTAGTCGGCGCATACTAGTCTTTAAATTCTAATGGTTTTGGGTCGGCTTCAGTAAAAGTTAGTCGTGGGGGCCGAGCTACCCGACGCTCATACTCCGAGGGGGTGATTGCCTCCCCTTGCCAGCGCTTCCCGGACCAACTACCATAGAAGCCGACATCAGACCAGTCAGCGCTGACCGAAATCAGACCAGTCAGCGCTGGCTTGGCTAACGGCTTGGTTTCGGCTTCGATCGCCACCAAGAGCACCTCTTCGCCGTTTCTTACCGGTACCGCATTCTCGATCTTGTGGACATCGTAGACGAGACGCTGGTAGCGATGCCTTACATCCTCGTGGCTCTTCCCCGGAAGCAGCGAGGCGACCTTCAGCCACCTCAACGAGTCCTGCGGGCGTCCGTGGCAAGCAAGCGGGATTGCAAACAAATGAGGGACGATGATGGTATCGAACTTTGAAAACCGTGGTCCAAAGCTGGAAAAGAGGACAAAAAAGGCCTCGTTCTATCTGATGTTGTTTACCTTGTTGTATACTACGGCTGGAGTTGCCCTATCTGAAAGTTGATCTTGTTGGTTGCTATCCGCCGCCGCCGCGCTGCTGTTGTTGTTTCTACTGCTGGAGTTTGCGTTGTATCTAATGTTGTCGTCCTATCTGTTGGTTGTATGTTGTTGCTGTTTACTTGTACTGCCCGAAATAGCATTCGTCGTTGTCGGCATGCCGTCGTTAAACCATCGTCGTAACTCCATGCAAGCGCACAAGGGCGCTCTCCTCTTACCGTCTCCTCGAACTCGGCCATGGCGTGCTCGAATACCATGTCCTGCTCGAAAGTCCAATCGTCGCGCTTGATCTTGCTTCCGAGAACGCGTGCATCGGGTTCCATCTACACCACAAAAAAAAACAAAAAAAAACAGAGCGGACACTGCGTTGAGGCAGGCGATTGTGATACAGTAGCTTAATCTCGCCAAGGCGGTCCACTAGCCTTGCGAGGGGGCATGCTCTCTGTCATGTTTTGCATGCCTTAGCGGTTAGACCATTAACCACGCGTCCTCGAGAGGACGGAGCATTGTTCCCACTGGACCGATCACCGATGGCCGATCGCTCCTTCCTACGTTACCAAAGGTGGCCCAAAAATGTCTTCCCTAGTCTGTCTATGCTACCGATATCACTTCCCGCCTTTTCTACCCACTTCCAACGCCCCAGCACGCGGGGGGGGTCGCTATTAAGTAACCACGCTGGATAAACCATTCAGTCGGGGAGGTTGGGTTGGGGTTAGGTTTAAAGGTCTAGGGTCTGCGTCCCCCCTGCCTGTTCTATTTCCTAATAAACTTATTGATCGCGCGAAGGCGCTCTATGTGATATGCACAGGTACTGGAAAGAGGGCATTGCTCGGATAACGAGAAAAACGAACACACAGCTAAGCGGGGTGTATCTATAACATCCTACGATGTCACCGCCGCCCACATTTCTCCCAACCCCGTATAAGCGATGAGAGTTCTTGGGTACTCCCGTTCGCTACATAGTCGATCACGCGCGTGCGCGTGTGGCTATTGAAACGGCACCATTCCCAGCAGCAGCAGCAGCAGCCACTGGCGCAGCAGCAACAACACCAACAGTAGCCGCAAAGCAGCAACGAAATTTTTTTTTGGCTTGCTAGCTTCTACAAAGCCCAACAGCTGCACCATACCGCCGCCAAAAACAGCGACAGCAACTTTCAAAAAGAAACACCAGCAGGAACACCAACGCCAGCAATAGCAGCAGCAGCAGCAGTAGCAGCAGCAGCAGCAATGATAACAAACTCGCCTGCGTGACCATCTGCAGGTTGACGAAGTACTCGTGGGCGTGCATGCGGACCTCGTGCACGGTCCGTCCATTACCCACCGCCTGAGATGATGATCACGAGAGCAACGAATGATTTCCAAATGAAGTATTTTTGAAAAGGACGCTACATACAGAGTAGTGCGGCATGAATCGCAAGGACGTTGGCTGACGTTTGAGGAGGTCGAAAGGGAGCGGCTGGATATAGACGTCAGAAAAAATTTCCCATTCCCAGAACCAAAACCAAACAATAACCGACCACCACCTACATGGCGTAGGTTGCATAAGATACCACCCCCGCTTGGAACTTTTTTTTTTTTCAAGCTCGACAACTCGGGAAGAAAAACGGAAGCGGTGACGTTGCCGAAAGCTGCAGAGTTGGAACCGTCTCGTCGAGAGCTTTCCAACAACGTATGTATGCTACCATCGTGTCATTTGTGCATCCTCTTGGTCGTGGAGAAACCGAGCTTCGAATATCGGTCCAGGGGGTATGGTATCTTACGGCATGTAACCTACGGTAGACTTTCAGCTTCGGGCTGTGGGCGGAAGTTTTTTTTTCTTCTCCCATCATTGGACTCTGTCGCCTGCCCCTCTGGCCCCTATCCTCCACTTCTACCAGCTAGACGACCCAACCGGGGTCACATAGGAGGGGGGGGCTGGACCCCCTCCTGCGGTTCCTGCCTGAGGTATTTTTATCGCGAGAAGGGTACAGCAATCCCTTCCCTCGCGACTTACGAAGTCGATTATGGTTTACTGGCAACGAGCTTTGCAGCGCGTCGCTTTCATCCTAGACCAACTATCTACTTGTAATCTTCCCACTTCTTGTGGTGCCAGCCTACTGCTGTAGTCTACACCCCTTAGTTTCTGTTTATTACTGCTGTAGAGGCATTGAGCTACTGAGCTGTATCGCGAGAAGGGCCCAGTGTCCAGTGGTCGCCCCTTTCCACACACGCATCAGGGTTAGCCGGCTCTTAGAAGCGCAGTCGATCTACAATATGTGGTACTATGTAATAAAACGTGTTGCCGAATTGCTGCTTCCGCGCCAAGTGTACAGCAGTACAGCAGTAGTCTACCTAGATGTGGTCGCTTCCTTGAGCTGGCGCTACAGTACGTACACCGAGATACGCAAAGGCATCAGGGTTGCGGTTATTGTCGTGGATCGACTTCCCATGCCCACCGACAGCAGCCAGTCGAGACAGCACATGAGGAAGGGGAATGTTTGCTTAGCATGGGTCACTGCTGTTGATTTGCCGACTAGATGTGTCGACTAGTCTAGACATGCGTGCTGCTGTCAAGCAGTGTAAATCCTACAGCCAGCACCTGAGATATCTTGTCCCACTCGCTCCCGGTGTTCTCCTGACCGTACCGTTCCATGGCATCGAGGAACGCAGAGTGCTCCTCATGAGTGAAAGGCTTCTCATGGACCAGCACATACACATACACACATACACATACACATACACATACGAGGAGCGCATGGAAGTGGCGGCGGAACGTAGTTGTGAGAAGAGCAGCTGTATACTAGACTACTACTGTAGGCGAGGGGGAACTTGGGCGAGCCCGCGTTTGTCTTGTACGCGAACTAGGTCTGAAAAAAAAAGGCGGGCACTGCACTTCGTAATTTGACTTCGAGTAGGGCCCGGGTTGATAGCAGCGAACAGCATCGACATGGCCAGCGGAAGCGACACGAACCGACCACGCGTTGGGCTTCTATCCCCCGACAGCAGTTGCTCGTGAAATGGTGTTTGTACGCAGCGGTCCGTCCAACCTTGTTCATCCCTCGCGGTGCCAACGCTGGCTGGCAGGGTTTTCGAGCAAAGTTTGGGCCCGGCAGGCCAAGCCCAAGCGGGTCGTGTTCTTGCACAAGCGACGACACGTGAACACGACGGATCCGCGAGGACAAGCCAAGGGTATCGCCTTGCTGCCGGGATCCACAGGGCCGAACAAAAGGCCACCGGATACCCCAATGCCTCGCGCCTCTCGAAACATATGATAGCCTGCTGGAGAAGGGCTTCGCGCCCTGGCGTTAGATTGCTCCCAGCACAAACAGCATAACCTTGTCAGCATCACGCCCGCGAGGGATCGACTCACTCACCCTCAACGCCCAGCCCGTCCCTGGCTGCATCGGTGGCATGCCCGGGTGCCCGCCGTATCCCGGGGGCATCATCGTCTCTCTTTCGACTCCCGTCGGAGTCTCCCTTATCTCTCACCCCTGCCGGCCTCGCGGTTGATTTGAGCGTTTCACCTTTTTTGGTCGCGAAGGCACACACACGGCGCTTTGTGAAGACCCCCGAAGGATCGCAAGCTGCTGTTGTGCGAAAGAAAACAACGCGCGTGACAATGATTTATCCCTCCTTCTTGAGATCGGTGCCGATGCGGGCCGTATCACAGCAGCCGTTTCTCCAAGCGTTGTGGGCACGCGAGGCAGGAAACTGAGCGATTGCTCACGTACGTACTGGTGTACTTGGATGTTGACGATCGTGTGACGGTTTCGGCCATTTGAACCAAGAGGATCCCTATTAAAAAAAAGGTTCTGACTGGTGGTTCTGCCGCCGACCGCCGCGAAGGAGCAGCAAAAAATGTCTTGGTCCAGTGTCTCTCGAAGCGGCGGACCGCTTGTGGTTGAGATACTGCTTGATCTTCCAATTGGTTGATCGCCTTCTTTAAC